GGGGTGCTGAGCAGCGGGGCGGGCGGGTTTCTCTCTGCTTTCTCCAGAGCAAGAAGCACGCCAACAAGGTGAGGCGGTACCTGTCCATCCACGGCGGGGAGGAGCTCGCCCACGGGAAGAAGATGAAGCTGGATGCGAAGCAGGTGAGAGGAGAGGGTAGAGCTCTTCGGGTCTAAATACTGTGGAGCAGTACCTGCTGGGCTAAAGGCTGTTGTGCAGCTTGGGCGCCTTGATGAGTAAATGAAGAAAAGATGCTTGGAAAGGGCATTGTGAGAACTGAGGAGCTCCATGGCAGGTGTGTCACCAGGCATTGTCTTACCAAGCACAGTTATCTCTGCCTTTCCTGTTAAACAGCCTCCGTCCATGAGTATCTCTTCCCCATTTAAACAACCACAGATTGCCTTTTACTGATAGCCTTGCTTGAAAGGACAGGAAAAAGTGAATAGGAGTGACAACTTCTCAGGAGTATCACCGTGTAACCTCTGCTGTCACAGAGAGCACATTGGGTTGACCATCTACTAGAATTCTCTTTCCAGAGCAATCCTTTTTTTACTTGTTTAGGTTTCCTCGGCTGGTAGCTGAAGCCTGTTGGTCAGTAAAGGCACTACGTTCCACTTGGCCATCTGTCTGCCCTGTGACTCATTTAGGAAACAGATTCTACTTTTATGATTGCTTCAGCTTTAATCCAACATTTGCAGCAGAGGGGTGGGAGATAAAGGCGGATGCCTTCACATCTGAGTTTTAGGCTTAGAAATGACTGCTACTGCCTGCTCTGCTGGCATCGTGTTGCAGATGACCCAGTTGATAGCGATGTTTGTGTTGCTCAGTTCACACCTTGCCAGAGTAAAAGGCTGCCTGTTCCAATTTTGGCAGCCACACACTTAATCTTGTCCTTAACCCGTAGAGGCCAGGGCTGCCCCTCTGTCTGGAGTGGTTTACTAATGGATTAAAAAAAAAGTAATCTGGTGCAAGAACACTCTCCAATGAGGAAGAGGATGATGCTGCATCATGGAAGTCCTACTCAGTCACACTTCTTCAACTTAACACCCCAATGTCTCTGATTACCTTGTTTTCTTAGACCCCCAAACCTTGGTGTTTCTTCTCGTAACAAGAAGGCTGGACGAGGTGACCTGCAGAGGTCTCTCCCAAGCTCAGCCACTGTGATTCTGTGTGCACAGGACAGCAAGCAGGAAGGCAGCAACGGGGAAGACAAGAACAAGTGTTGTCCCATCTGCAACATGACCTTTTCCTCTCCAGCCGTGGCAACATCTCACTACTTGGGCAAGACTCATGCCAAGAACATGAAGCAGCAGTCCCCCAAAGTGGAAGGTATGGCTGTCTGCAGCACCTTTGTGTTATACCGAGGGGCTGTTTGAGCAATAAAAAAATTTGAGATGTTCATTGGACCCCAAATGTAAGCTCTTGTGAGGATGTGCATACTCTTTACTGTGAAACAGAGTAAGCTAGCAGTGCAACTCGAGAGACAGGGCCTCTCTCAGCAGCCTGCTTGGTGGGCTGGCGTTGGCAAAAAGTTGCGTGTTTTTTTGTTTTGCTTTGTTTGGGACAAACTTGCAGCAGTATTGTGCAGCCCTGTGTGCAGGGACCAGGAGGAAGTTGTTCTTCAGAGAGCATGATGTTAAGCTGTAGAAAAGCCTGTTGAAGGACACAGTGCTCACTAAAAGCTTACAAGGACTGAAGTGACTGGTGAAACTCCTATACAGCAAATTTGCCAGGGCTGCTCGACTACAAAGATGTAGCCTTTGAGTTTCAGGGACTTGTGAGCTGCAGATAGCTGAGGACTGGGAGAGTATAGCTGGGAAGCATCAGTATGTGCGTGTCCTAACCTTGTGCTTTTCCCATGGCACCTGCCATTGACTGTTCTCATGATGGGATACAGTCCAGGCAAACCTCAGGTCTGACCCGGTGCAGCTGCCTGTGTGTCCTGTCCCTTTGCTAGCAGATGGAAAGGCCCAGTGGTTGGAGAGGGAGACCCTCCGTCCAGGGCAGGTAGGGGCAGCTGAGAGCGTGGGGTGCTGTAGCCAGTCAGGATGAAGGGAAAACGCAGCCTTGAAGTGCACCTGAGGATGGCAGCTTGTGCTAGCTCTGAGCTGGGATATTCCAGGCAGAAACTGCCTGTCCCAGGATGTCTTCATGGCTTTGCTAGATTGCTTGCACACAGTGAAGCTGCCTCTGGGGTCAAGGTGGCCCATGGGGTGTGTTTATTCTTTAAAGCCCTGGCTTTTGGGTATGAGGGGAGCCTTCAGGAAGAGGTGGATGTATGCATGAGCGGTCTGGTGCCTACATTCCTTTTCAGCGTAAGTGGAGCTCTCTGGTCCTTAGAAGGTTCCTCACTCTGGTCTCTGGTACCCCATAATGAGAGCGTGCAGGTTTCTCCGTCGGATGGGAGAGACGCTTCTCTGTGTGGATTCACTGTGTCAAACCTAGTCCCGTTCATGCTATTTCTCAGGCAAGATTCCTCATGACTTCTGTTCAGGACCAAGTCCTGCAGCTGCACAGTGTTTCAAGAAACCTGCTTGCCTTTGCTGCACAAGGGCTTGTACCCGTGTTCTGGCTGGGTAATGATAATAGTGGGTGGAAGCTCATGCACGTCCAGTGTTTCCTGAATATGGCCATGCTTATGTTAAGGAAAAATATGCAAATGTGTTGTGTTTTTTTTAACTCTGAAAGTTTTTCTGGCCTACTCTGACTTGTCTTACCGCA